GGTCAGGGGGACCGGGGCTCCATCCTGTGGGGCTGGGGGACCAGGGCTCCATCTCACAGGTCAGGGGGACCGGGGCTCCATCTCACAGGTCAGGGGGACCGGGGCTCCATGCCACAGGCGGGGGGACTGAGGAATTCAATCGTATGCAGTTGGCTCCAGCCCCGCAAGCTCGTGATCTCTTTGGCCATGGGGCCAAGCCTCCAGCGGACACTGGATTTGGCTGCTGTCCGGCTGCTCCTTGGGGGTGCTCTGCGTCCACACCTCCATTACCGACCCTGGGGTGTGGGCGGTGGGGGAGGCCCTGCGGGAGCCCTGCCCTGCCCTGCCCTGCCGGACGGAGGAGCATTGGTGGGATGGGCCAAGCACAGGTTCAATCGCAGCAGCCTCCCCACCACAGAGAACCCCCATCTCTGTTGATGGTCTGAGGCGTTAGCTGGCGCCTGTGGAAGGAGGCTGCGTCGCGGGGGCTGGGCACTGACTTTGAGGCTTCCCCTTGTAGACATGACCTTCATCCACGAGGGCAACCGCACGCTGGCAGAGAACCTCATCAACTTTGAGAAGATGGTGAGCCAGGCAGAACCTGTCACCCCTCCAGGCCGGCCCCACTCCCCCCGGCGGCTGAGGGCCTGGCGAAGTGAAGCACTGCACAGACACTAATGCGTTTGGGGGTCCCTCAGCAGGCGGCTCATGCGCCCCGTTTTTCCAGGGAGGAAGCTGAGGTGCAGTGAGAACCCAGGTGTTCTGGCTCCTGGCCTCGTGCTCTGACAGGCCTGTCTGGAGGAGGGGCTTCGGCTGATAACAGTGCTGAGAGTGTCTGTGCGCAGGGGCTGGCAGGGGCCACCTCCTTCACCCACTCCCAGCCCACGGGCTCCTCCGCCCCACGGCAGCTCCCCAGCAGGGTGTGGCTGGCCCCACCTGCCTGTCCTGCAGTGCTGCCCCAGCCTAGCAGATGGGATGCCCCGCCATGGTGCCCCATCCCTGGGCCCATGGGATTGTGGTTGTTCTGCACATTTTGCCCCTGTTCCCCATGGCCCTTTGCTGGGGTTGCCTGGCTGAGGGACAGGCCCTTGGTAGAGGGCATGTGCTGGATGGGGCAGCTGTGCCCCACGCCCCTCACAGGCTCTTGGCTTCCAAAGGAGTGGGAGGGGGAAGAGCTTTACCTGACCATGTGTGCGCCGGGCCATGCGCCCTGGCCCATGAGTAACCCTGTGCCTTGCCTGCAGCGAATGATGGCCAAGGCCGTACGTATCATCCACCACTGCCAGAGCCACACGTACGGTGAGTGCGCGCCAGGGCCTGTGGGCACCCAGCCCTGGGGAAGGTCACCCTCCAGCCAGCATCACACAGGGGCCATGGCAGGTCGCGCCTCCTGTGGGTCGAGTTCTGGCTCCCGTGGGAGCAGGCACTTTGCCACCCATCCCCAGCACTGGGGTCTGCCCTTCAGGGTTACAGCTTAGACAGGGCCCAGGGCGGCCAGGGTGGGGGTCCTACCAAAACAGCCCAGTAGGCATTGCTAGTAGAGTGGGATTTAGGAGGAGAGGGTACTGGGGCATGTAGGGAGGGCACCGTATAGGGAAGATGGGGGGCATTGGAGTAGGAGGGCAGAGGGTGTTGGGGGAAAAGGAGGGGAGTGCCCAGAGCTGTTAGGTACCTTGCCACCACCTGCCCTAATGTTGGAAGCCATGTCTGGTGCCTGCCGGGCTCAGCTCCCTGGTTCCACCAGCCACGGGCAGCACAAGCATGACCCCCTCCGTCCACACAGGCCCCGCTGCCCCCCTGCAGGTTAGTGACAGACACGCTCCAACCCCTCGGCCCTCCGAGTGTCCCCGGGCCCATGGGACACTCCCAGAACTGCCCCCCAGCTCACCCGTTTCACCCCGGGGGCGTCGCTCGACTCAGCTCACAGCACTGAGATTGCTTGTAGTACAAACAAGTCAGAGTTCATTTAACGAAGATCAGAGAAGGCTGTGAAATTAATGGAAACAAAGGATTACATATAAAATAACTAAAACGGCATTCTCCTGCCTCCTGAAGGTTAGCTCACCCAAAGTTTAACAGGGATCCTCCATTCATAGGACACGCGTGCTGGTAGCTTGCCCCTGGGCACCCCCAGATATTGTTCCAACCATCCTTTTCTTCACTTGTAAACAGGGTACCCCCCTCCCTGCTGCTTGTGTTTCTGGGCTAGAATCTCCCCTGGAGACTTTGATTAGCATTTTGCTTGGACTGTAAGTAGGCGTCCATTGTGAAGTGTACAGTGCTCACTTTACATACAGCCAGACGGGCATCTCCTGCCTGGCAGAAACGTACCATCTGCTGGTGCCCAGCCCCGACTCACAGACCTGAAGAGCATAATATGCCGTACAGACGCATAGCTCCTAGGACAGGACCTGTACATACATTCTGCACTGATTGCAATGATCAATGTGACACAGGCTTTCAGTAGGGCCTCCCATGACACCCTAGGCAGAGATCAGACCGGGGAGCTCTGTAACCCTCTGCAGCCCTGTGCCCTCTGCCAGTTGGGTCACAGACATGTAGGAAATGCATTGGGGCAGGAGGGCAGAGGTTGGGGAAGAGGAGTGTGTAGGGGAGCAGGGGCCTATGTGGACAGGAGGGCAGAGGTTGGGGGAGGGGGGTGTGGGGGAGCAGGGGGCCCATGCAGGCAGGATGGCAGAGGTTGGGGGAGGGGTGGTGCAGGGGGACAGGGGGCGTGTCAGGACAGGAGGGCAGAGGATGGGGGAAGGGCATGTGGGGGAGGGTGTATGTAGGGGAGCAGGGGGCCCATGCGGGCAGGAGGGCAGAGGTTGGGGGAGGGGTGTGTGTAGGGGAGCAGGGGGCTCATGGGGGCAGGAGGGCAGAGGTTGGGGGAGGGGTGTGGGGGGGAGCGAGGGGGCTCGAGGGGGGCAGGAGGTTGGGG